GAATACTTTTTTCCCACCACACCCCTCTTCTGCTTTTTAAACGGGAACCATTTCATTTAACATTTACTTTTTCATTTTAGGAAGACAGAGCTTAACAAAATCAACCCAGATGAAGACAGAGCCTTATGCTTTTTTTACTTTCACTAAAAAAGTCCTTGTTGGTCCTCCCTGCACACCTGCGGCTCTGTGGATCATTTTCTGGAGGAGTACTTAAGCAGTAGACTGTCACTATCTCGACGCCAGAGTGTTTGCCAGTTTTCGGTACTCTAGCCATGCTTAGATTAGCTGAGTCTAACCCGAGTCTTTGTTTCACTGAGTCTAACTGAGTCTTTATCTCTCTGAGCTTTAACCTTGTTTTTTTTTGTCTTTGTCTCTCGGCAGGAAGTCACCCTGCAAACTGGATGTTTGGGCCTTCTCCCCCTGAAAGGATTGTTTGAGCTTCACATTGAGCAGGGGATGCAAACTGGATGTTTGGGCCTTCTTCCCCTGAAAGCATTGTTTGAGCTTCACACTGAGCAGGGGATAAATCTCCACATGTACCGTTCAAGTTCTCCTGGAAATCTAATTGACAGTCCACTCCATTTCTCCTCCGTGTCCAAAGAATATTTACCTGTCCACTCTTCAACGTCTCCCCTCTTCTCTGGATCAACTCACACTTACTGGATTCAAAGTGAGAGAAGAAACCTCCCAAACATGAGTCCCTCACTAGCATTATCTTTACGGCATCCAAGATTCCCACGGTCCCTGAACTAATCATTGTCATATCCTCTCCAGACTTCCTAGTTCCTGCTCACCAGTTTTTTTGAGTTCCAGATTACCCCCTTCTACCTTTTCCTTAATAAACCAGTTAAACCTTTGCCTTGCTCTCTGAGTGGTTCTCTGCATCTTTGGGTCAGACCTTTAAACACACCATGACAACATTTAGCTTCTAACAGACTTGATGTTTGAGGAAGCAGTGGTGAAAGTTTACGATTATCTGACCTTTGCAGATTCAGTTAAACTGAATAAGTTGAAGGAAACTTACGATGCCAGAAGCATGTTTTGGTTTCACACTGTAAGAAGTTTTCTCCTTGGCTTGTCTGAAACTCTCTTCTGCTGCTTTTAACCTACAAAATACACAATTCAAGGGAAAAACAAGAAAAGTTACAAGCAAAAATAAATAAGAAATAGTCCTACATCTAGAACTTTATCACAGTTTATATCATTGCAGCCATAAAGTTAACCCTTTATAGACCCCTCAATGAAATAATTTGAAAATCAACATTTCCGGCCAATAGTGTTTTTGGAACCCAGGAAAAAACCTTATTAACTTTGGAACATTCAAAAATATGGATGCTTTGGATGGATAAAAATGAATTTCAATGTAATAACAAACGCCAACTTGCCTGAATATATTAAGAAAAATAACAAAAGTGCTAAATTTCTAAGGCAAGTGATCAAAAAAGAGCTATTTGCCCTATAAAGGGTTAATTGTTTTGTAAGATTTTATGTAAAAAATCAACTTAAAGAAATTGAACTAAACTATAAAGATGATCATTTGTCATTTTATTTATATTTTACAAATACATTTGAAAAGTGATCAGTTTATATTACAGCAAAACACTAACAAGAAAACTTCAATTCCATTACCTATAAAAACATCTTGGCCAATAAAATGGTAGAAGTATCATTTTTAGGATTAATAGCACTATTGTACTAAAAATATTAGCTTTCTTTCTTTTCATCTTTGTTTTTTCTACGTGCAAATTTGTAATCTAAAAATTACCTGTTTAAGATGAAGGGAAATTTGTTCCATTATTGTTGTGAAGAAAACGTTTTGTAAAAGGAAATTTGAAAAAATTAAATCCAGAAATTAAGCTGCTTAATCAAAAAAGTAGAAGTAAATTTTCTCATATTTTATTTTTCAAATGATTTTGTTGTTCAAATCTCTTTAGAAATGTAACTTTCTCCTTTTTTACAGTTTTTTTTTAAATAAGAGTGTCTTTTTCAGATTGTTTTAAGACTTTGTCTTTTAAAAAATGTGTCCCATTCTGTCATTTAAACACAATTTGAAAAAACAGCACTTAGTAAAACTCAATCTGAAGAGAGACATTTAAAAATTTAAATAATTTGAAAATACAAACTTTGGGGAAGAAAAGCTTTCTGAAAAAGATCTATTTAAAAAAATTAAAAACTGAAACAAATACTTCAAAAAAAATCAGAGATAACAATAAATGTACCGTACTCTCAAAACCTGTTTTGATTAAGAAGTGTTTCAAACTTTTTCTCCTGGATTGAATTTTGGATTTTCAAAGTATTTCACTGAGTGCCCTATAAAGGGTTTATATTTTGAAAGTAATTCCCTTTTCCTCTTTTATATTGTTTTTCATCTTGCTTTTAATCCTGTTTTTATTTTTTTTTTATTTTATGCTCTCCATTTAACATTTCCTTCACCATTCTGGTCCCTCTGCATTGTCCAGTTTCTCTTTTCCATTTAGCTTGTGTTTGTTATACAGTGGGTTGAATTAATCGGTAAGAATGGTACGTTTCAAGCGCAGCCCAAATCCATTTGTAATAATAATTGGAAAATTAATCTCATAAAACTTTACTCAAAACAACAGCGACATTGTGGCGCAATGACCGGGTGAATGGTCAGTCTTTATTTGCAAAGACCATCTCAAAAGACTGGCAGCTGTAAATTAAGGAGGGCTGAATTCAAATGCAAGCCACACTTTTCAGATTGTTAGTTATGCTTTTTCCAAGCCTTGCATCTTCAGCTTTTTTTATACTCAACAATTTTCCACAACTTGAGGTTAGTTTATCACAAAAAAACTTAAGTTTTGGTTCTAACTTCTGGAAAACAGGTTTATGGTCCCATTTATTAAATAAAACATTGACTATGTCTTTATTTCTGTCAATTATGATATTTTCTCCTGAGAGCAAATCAAATTACTGAGCAGAATTTTAACATCAGGCCAATCGAAAACAGTTTATTACAGAAATGTCCTTAAAAAGCAGCTTTATTCTGTTACAACCAGCCTAATTCTAATATCCTAACGGATATTCTAATTGACTGACCTTTTATGACGCACTGTCAAGTTTTATATAACTTTTCTATTATCTTATTATAAACGTGATGACATATACTTGAGGAAATGTGGAGGGCGTCCCACCTTTCTTTGAGGATAGTTTTGTTCTCTTTTTTCCACAGCTCCTTGAAATCTGAGGAGAACTCATGCCAGATGGAAAATAAAACGTTGGGGGAAGCCTCTTTTTCTCCCGCTTTGGGCTTCACCGAGTAGAACGTTGTGAGCTCAAGGAACCTTAAATAACACAAAGATACATTATTCATTTGCAAGCTGAGAGACAGAAACAAAGATACAGCTCCAACATTTAGGAAATTAGGATTTCATAATGGAATTATTCATTGTTATGAATGATGAAGGGATTTGTAAGAAGCCATTCCACTAGGGGGCGATAAAGATAAGGAAGAAAGAGGGCGGGGCTTACAGTTTGTGGGTGCTGCTGAGTTGACCATCCAGCGTCTCCAGTTCACTTTTAGCTAACAGAGAAAGAACAGTTTCAAAGGCAGAAAATCAGTTTCATCTAACTTGGTTGTCAGTTTCACACGGTCTTATTTCTGATAGCAAGGAGTAGCTAGCCTAGGCTAGCGCTAGCTTAGCATTGCTATGGCTT